AGCATGGGGAAACGGTGTTGGAGTACGGGCTAAGAGTTGAGTCACCCCTCGCTTTAGAGATGTCGGCTGGCGACTGGATGAGAAGTCACTGGCGACTGGAGGGGAAGCCACTTCAGCTCTGGAGAGGATGTCTCCATATTTTCTAAGAGAGCGTGGTAGATGGCATGTTGGCATGCTGAATCATCGCTCATATTACAGGTGTTGGTTGGCGACTAAGAGGGGAAGTCACTTCATTATGGGAGAGTGTGTCTTCGCATTTTTTGGGAAGTGATTGAGCTGACAAGTCATGGAGATCTATCAGGCCAAAATTTTGATAATGTTTGTCCGAGGTAGACTGAGATGTTGACATATGCTCTGGGATAGAGGCTTGGGACTGGGGCCGAGTTCTCAACTTAATCGACAGTAAGGAATGTTCCTCCAGTCGTTTCTAAAAATTACCCAGTGAGTGGTCGAGTGCCCCAAGTAGGGTCGTCCTCGATGATAGGGTTGACCGATCCCGCCATTCGCGTCGGCATGGAAAAATGTCAACCTGTCCGAGTGGTCGGAATATCGTCTTGTCCTAACTAAGAATCGTCTCTTGAGTCGATATAGAGATGTCGACTCGTCTGGGAGGTCAGAATCTCTCGTGTCGACCAATATCGTCTTTCGTGTCGGCACCAGAGTGTCGGCTTGATGAGTCGATGGGACCGAGGCCTCTGTGATTGTGCCTTGGGTTTATCCCTGATAAATTACCAAGGTCTTATAATTAGTCATGATGGTCGAGTTGCACTGCAGGATTCAACCATATGTTGTGCATTGGGCTTACCTTGATAAAGAGCCAAGGACTTGTAATTCAACTGAGGAATCAAATGTCTAGAACTCTTGAGAGTTGGCTAGGTTTTTCCTTCCCCTAAGGCCGAGAGACGACTGTGGGAGTCGACAAAAGGGTTGAGTTTGTTTTGCTAGAACTCTTATTATATCATTTTGCAAATATCCATATCTTGGGTGAGTGAACATCATTATATATATATATACCAAGTTTCTCCATTGAACTTAATAGTGACGTGGCCAGATCTGACCCCTACATCACGCCTCGAAAATAGAGCCTCAATCACTATTCACGTACTCCAAAAAAGAGGCTCCATCTTCGAGACGTGATGTAGGGGGCAGATTTGGCCATCTCATTACCAAGTTCAATGAAAGAACTTAGTACCAATGTTCTCTCTCTCTCTCTCTCTCTCTCTCTATATATATATATATATATATATATGATATAGTATATATATATATATATATGGAAAAGTGAATCTAGGTGACACCCTAGGCTCCCACCTAAGGGCGCAGCCTAAAATCACATCATTTCTTTTTTTTTTTGCGATCCGCTCGTGTGAACTTGATCTACACGTTCTTAAACGCAAACACGAATTATTAGGGTGAACCCGTCGTGTTTTGACCCTTTATCCACTCGCTGCAATTTTAACGGTTTCTGAATGAATACAACTTTTTGCACGGCTCAACGAATGGTCAAAAACATAACGTCGGTTCACCTAAAATTGGTGTGTTTGGGTTTAAAGAACATGTAGATCAGTTCAACGGAGCGGATCGCAAAAAAAATTAGGAAATGATGTGATTCTAGGCTGCGTCCTTAGGTAGGAGCCTAGAGTGTCACCTTAGATTCAGCTTTTCCATATTATATATATATATATATATATATATTATAATATTTATATCATATATATATATATATATGCAAACAAAGATTTTATTCTAATATTGGATCAAAGATTTCCTATAATAAAGCTTTTAGTATCAAATCAAGCTTGACTTTTGGTCAATTCAATGGTGGAGGCCACCATGTTGAATGGGAGGAAGAGATGGAAATCCAGTTGACAGGCCAAATGAATTGGAGGGGACCATGCAAAAGAGAACACTGTTGCCATTGGCAGAGTACAGTATTAGATCTATCTGTGGGACGCTATCTGATGTTCACTCTTTTTTTTCCCCCTTCTTCTTCTTTACTTTACTTGATCTTTTGATGAGATGACGCCACCGACAACAAACAAGATCGCCAGCCTTTAGCTTCATATCTCATATGAGACTGACCGCAGTCTGCATCTGCATCTGCATCTGCATCTGCCCGCTGATTGAGCCTCTGAACCTAACTCAGTCTACTTTCTTGCTCAAATCATGCTGCTAATTAATTGAATTGAATAGTCAAGTAAGGAGGGTTTGGTCCCATTCCATTCATTCCTTATATAGTTCACAAAAGTTGTTGCCAAGATCTTAGCGGACTTTGACTTGTCCCTTTTTGGGGTCAGTACGCTTTTGGCCAGCTTTTATTTGTTTTCATCCTTCGTGCTTAATTTGTTCTGTTGTGCCAGCAGCTTTAAGATTGGGTTACGTTTCTAGCTGTGATTGGATCGGACCGGAGCTCAAGGTGGGAGCTGATAAGGCGGTGGACCCCTCCTCCCTAATCACCGATCATCATTGGGCGGTACACCCTTGATCCATCCATACGTATAAGTTAAAAAAAATAAAAAGCTTTTTTATTTTTTATTTTTAACCAGCAAAAAAAGATACATAACAAAACGTTCATGTAGAAAATGCATCTGGAAATTAATACACCCCGCCAGCGATGCGTCTATGTACGTTTCTAGCTAGCTAGCATGCAAGCACACTGTAGGCATTGAAAATTACCTATAGGTCTCCACGAACCGTTCAGCATTAAGAAAAGACGATGAACGTCACTATCTGGTTCACAGAAGCTTGATTGATGTCGGTGAATGCTTAAAGTGAATCGACGAACTACGTGAAGCAACGGAATTTCAGAATAACAAAGACACGAACTGATCGGGAACCTCGTGTCGTTCACAAACGGTGAAATACCCTTCATGTCTCATTTGTTCCACAGATGATCTAATCATTGGAGCTTATAGAACTCCTCGTCGGCTTTCTAACGCACTTTGAATCTCTCAAATCCGAGTTCGGATGAAGAAGTTACGGTGAAAATGAACAAACATGCATAACGGAGTGTCTCAGCCTGAGTTGAGACACCCCGGGGTGTCTCGGCATGAGCGAGACACCCAAGGGTGTCTCGGCCTTGGCCAAGACACCCAAGGGTGTCTCCAGCCCAAATTCCCCCTGTGCCTATAAATACAAGCCTCAGAGCCTCATTTTTTTAGATCTGGAATTTTGGAGAATTGGCGAAGCCCTGCCGGACCGAAGATTGATCGAGTTCTTCAACGTAAGGGAATTTTGGAGAATTGGCGAAGCCCTGCCGGACCGAAGATTGATCGAGTTCTTCAACGTAAGAGAGAGGAATTCTTCAGATCTGCATCACACGTATCCTTTCCTTAGGATTATCCCGTTGCGATAATCCTAAGAAGAGCAATTATCTCGCCGTTGCCGAGATAAGCGCTTCTGCTTCTAGATTCCTTCGCGGATCGACGGAGTTCCGGATCTGATCTGATTGTCAGGTAGTCCACGGACATCGACGTCTCCGTCACCGGCTAAAGACCCACGCAAGCAAGAAACGACGAACAGATCTTGTGTTATTTTCGAAAAGTTGTAATCTTTCATTCTTCATTCCTTTTATTGAATATTTTGAATTCTTTGTAAGCAATCCATATTATAATGAATTCAACAATGAAGGCAACTTTCTCCGAAAACACACACACGCGTTTGAGTGTGTCCAGCACCGTGGGATCGACGCATCACGTGAAGTCTTTTCCAAGGATAATCCTAAATCCCTAATCCTAGAACAAAACCAAGGCTTTTTAATTACTTATCGTCCGTGTGTTAACGGTCTCCATTATCGTACGCGTCACTACTGGTTGTTTTAGAGCTGTATACGTAAGTGGCGGGTGCCGCGAATGAGGTTGATCATCAACGAATCTAAAAGGTTGGAAGGATTTTGATCGGGTCTTATTAATGTGCGGGCACGCGACCACTAGTTAGTACTCACTAAACTTCCGGCCGGATGCTCACTCATGTTTAACAACTAAACGATGACCGATGCGACTCTTTACGTAGTTTTGATTGGGGTGGGGTTGGGTCGTTTCAACTTCTCCTTAATTTTCCTCCCAAGTTGCACGCGGGCGCGTGCATGAGCGATGCCGCAAAAATGCCTACACATGTATATGAATTTGGATCCTCTCCTCTACAAAAAAAATAGTGGAGGGACCATGTACTACTTTTAATCTCAATCGTTGATTACTTAATAGGCGGTTATGATACAATCTAAATCTAACACTTACCATACCCACGTGTATTGCGATTTACACTAAAAGAAAAAATCACAACCATCAACTAGATAATCAATGGTTGTGATTATGTAGTGGTCCTCCCTCCACTACTTTTTAGATATTGGAGAGGATCCGAATCCCATATATATAGTCCCCGTATATGGAATGGAGGTCCTCACTAAGCAAAATGGTAATAAATTAATTAGGAAAATTTTACACATGATTATAAGACCATCATATTACATATGAATACACCTCTGTTACATCCCACATCTGCTATTCAACTGATTGCTTATTAATGACTATTCTCAAAGAAGACGCGCGGATCCAACCTAATTCCTTTCCTTTACTAAGAAGTTGGATTGATTGATGCCTTTCGTTTCAAGCACGTGCAATTTCCGCTTTTGAGAATGCCTCATCTGTCTAGCGTCTAGTGCGATAAACGACGCAGCTGGACCAGCATACGTAACGACATTGTCCTCATCATCGACGTCAACACCACGAATTATGTAAGTATGCTCAATAAGTTACACGAGTACGCTGCAAGTTTATTTGCCTGCTTGAGTATTTATCTTAGTTCGTCACAATGTGCGTGTGTGTGTATAGCTAAACCATGCACCTTTATGAGTTGCGTTACTCTTTACGTTCTTCCCCAAACCAAACAGCTTCACCCAGTCAATATACAAATTAATTAAAGACTACAACCTTTTGGAACGCCTCCAGTTCATTAGATTCTACCCAAATGCAACTTGCTTCTACATAAATTTGCGAATGTAATAACCTAAACATGGGAGGCTCACTAACATATATATGTATATCCACAGAACTATAGGAAACTCATTTGTTAATGTTCTCTCCCTCCCTCTCTCTGTCATAAATTAACCACCTTATACACAAAAGCACTCAGCTTCTACTCTGAATCTATCTGCAACTCTCAGTTCTTGCGGCCAGCAGGATGACGCCTTGACCTCCTACTCCTAACGGGCACCAACCAATTATTCCCGCCGTTGGCTCTCCTGGACCCGTTGCCTTGACCTCCTACTCCTAACGGGCACCAACCAATTATTCCCGCCGTTGGCTCTCCTGGACCCGTTCTTTCTAAGCTCATAACCAATGTTGTGCATGTCTTCACAGATTTCATGCCTCGAGAGGGTCACCATCCCAGGCAGTATGTCCTTCTGGAAATCCCTTACCACTCTCCCCCTCCCCCTCCTCAGCTTGTTAACCCCGCTTGACCCCTCTCCTGAGTTGTCCCCCTCAGGCCGTCTTGTTGGCATCAAGTGCTCGTCACTTGCGACCTCAGGCAGCTGTAGGGTCAGGGTCTCGAAAGAATCAGATGAGTACTGAGGCTGCTCTTTCTCATCCTTATTGGTCAAAGTGTCCGCCAATCTAGTGCTATTGATCTGCTTTAGCATGGATGATGGTGGGGCTAGAGAAATACCAGTGAGTATCTCAGCAGCACCGATGACTGGACAATCTTGATCCTGTTCTTGTTCAACACTGCATGATTTTTCTACTGAACTTTCAACACTCATGTTTTGTAACCGTGTCGTTCCAGAATTTTCATCTATAATTTTACCCATGGAGACGCATTCACTGCTTCCAGTAAGGATATCAGGTTTGCTTCCCACGAGTTCTCCATCCATGACCATGTCATCTTCACTTCTCCTGTTATTTGCTTGCTTGTCTTCTACAACGTTGTCGGCCTTGACAATCGAATCCTGCCTTCTGTCATCACGAGTAATGGAATGCAACATGCCGGATGCAAGATCTTCATTCTCCTCTACTGGGATATTGAGGTCTCCAGATGAGAGGGTGATTTCTTCCGCACTATTTGCTAATTCTCCATTAGAAACACTGGAGATGCCTTCCATGGATTTCCTACAACATTCTGTTAGCTTTGTGGAGTTGGATCCCCCAACTTTATTGCCCTCTTCACTATCTTGTTGCATGTCAGAATTTGAAACCTTGGACCTCTGTGAATCATGACAGCCAGGAAATGACCAGTCGCCGCTCTTTCCTCTGGAGGCAGAATCAGGAGCTTCGGAATTCAGACAAACAGAGTTTTGTTTGAGGCGATTGTTGTCCCAAAGAAGTTCGTTTTGAACAACTGATGAGCTTGAGGATTGAGCGGAAAAGGTGAGCATTGTATCATTTATAGCACGAGAAGTTTCATTATCTTGAAGTATGTTAAGGTCAATAAGCATTGGTTTGGACAACTGAGGTTGCCGTGACACCTCAACAAGACCAGCAACACAAGATTCATTGCCATCTGCAACAACGGGAAAGTTATTTAAAATTTTCACCAATAAACGTTCAATTGCAGAGATGGTAAGTGTCAGAAAGCAACAGGGCAACTGGCCAAGTACGCTACAATTTCTGACAACCTAGTATGTACAATTAGTCGGGGTTCAAAAATTAGGAAATTCTCTCCATATAATTGCCATGGCAGCAGGACATGAAGGAAGGCGTTCTAGACATGACCGCATGGGCTAATAACATGTATATTCTTCTACTTTCTAGACGCTCAAAATGCACATGCTAGGTTATAGTTTTCACACAAAACTGATACAGTATACAGAGTATTTTGGATGATTTACCATTTTCAGTGGTGTTGCGTACATATGTGAGTTTTGACATGTTCAAACAAGTGTCTCAACATTTGAGGTAAATGTAAACTGTAGATCCTCATGCTTATGGTATGTGCAACTCATGCATGACCAAGCATACATACACAGATCTGTGTGCATGTGCATGTGCTTGTATGCCTTATGTATGTGTATGGATACAATATGTGTATTACGTGCATATTTATATGTACATACTGCGTGAATGTATACGTGTTATCTGATGTGTATGTATGCACACGACCCAAAACAACACCTATTTATGCCTAGAGAAAACATATTCTTAAAATAAAGCACTATAATAACTTTCTTTATGGGGGAAAAGGAGATCTCGTAGGCTGTCATGAAGATATTTGTTAAAAGAAGTAACTGAAGCTTTTTGAAAGATACAATTCAATGAGTGTAAATTATCCGCTATGGAGAGTGACAAGTTCACATGGATATACTTCGTAATTGGATCCACGAAATGAGGTTAAAAATTATTTTCAAATCACGAACAGGAAATATCGCTACGATCTTGAAGTTCATGAACCAAATAACAAAATCTACCACATATGAGGCACTTCAGATATGAATTAAGTCGGACTTTATGATACAGATTTCAATTTTATAATTCGAGTAATGAATATTATTCTTCAATGAGTCTTCTGTTAAAGCATACCAGGAAAATCACATGCAAAAAGTAGTCCAAACCACACTTTTTATCTAAGCAGTGGTTTTTTTTGGGTCTAAGTCTTGTTTTTCGAATAAGCAGTTGAGCATAACAAATTCTAAGCTCACACTAACGGAATCGCGCAGTGTTTATTTTAATACAAGAGAACTAGAGACTGTGATAGAAGACCTGATTCCTTACTAACATATGCAGAATTTAGTCTTAAAATACATCAAAGAAGGAAAAAATTCTTTGGGCTAAACTATGCTATACACTATAGAAAATTTGTTCTACGTACAACAGACAGGGAAAAAAAATTAAGTGAAGATTTAATGTATCCAACCAATTGCTAACTCCATAAGAATGCCCACATCTAGATCAGTTTTAGGCTTTTAGACCGCTCCTAGGCCTGAAGCGGTTGTTTCTCATGTTATCCTGGCAAGCATTACTCAGGTTTACATCTATTGGATCAGGCATCACTATTGAAAAGTGAAGGAAAAAGGTATAGTGTGGATCCAATGTAGTAGTCTGTTCAATAATAAGCCTCAGCAACATAAACGATATCATGGTTGGGCCTTTCCTTTGATAAAACAAGGATGGAGGAATGCATATTTTGGTGATTTTGCGTTCAACAAGCGGGAAGGTAAAAGTGCCATTCTTCTAAAGCATTCCAGTGAGATCATGGTGATTTGCGTTCCAGAATATGAAGGACTCATATCAGGTTGAAACCACCCAGATAGAGGTTGGCCACTTAATTACGGAATTCATTATCAGTTTTCAGTCGGTTGGATAAAAAAATCTAAGCTAGTGGGTTCACAGACGTGTTCCACAGCTAGTATAAGGTCCTAGCAAAAATAATCAGTGGTCTTAGCAGGCTGATCTAATCTAAAAAAGATTATAATCAGCTGTAAATCTATACCGTATCGGCAGAAAATAATCAAAACATGTGCGGGATGGTTTTTGTATTTTGAAGAAGCAGGAGGCATGCTAAGGCCAGTCAGATTGCATGAACTTGAATTTACACGATCCAAAAACTATACAAGTCTGACTCGTCAAAGAAAACCACAAACCTTTATACACTGAATATGATGTATCCAACTTGAAAAGAGAGACATGCTGGTGCATGGTATAGGTACAAATACATAACTTAAATCAGAACTAATGTTCTGATATCATGAGCATCCACTGGCAATACAAGCACATTGCTGATTAATGGAGAACCAATATTACCTGCTCATTATGAGCTCAAGACAATTAGGTATTTAATCCCCATGCATAATAGAAATCTCTAAAAAAAGGGACCGGAAGTTGAGAAATATTGAATTACATAACATTGTTTTGTGCATACATATAGAAAATTTAGACAAGTAAACTGCAAAGCCAAGAGGGTAAGACAAAAAAGCTAAAATACTAAATGTCATCATATCTATTAAGCAACCTAAACAAGCTCATAGGTAGAATAAAGAGCGTCAAACAGTGACAGCAATAACAGTTATAACCTCCCCAAAAAAAAGACTACTAAGAGAAAAGCTAGATGTGGCATAACCAATGATAAAATGATACCAGTTTGATATGCAGTGGGGGAAAATGATTAGGTCAGTTTGATATGCAGGGTTATACTTGCGAGCTGGAAATTGGCAAGGACAAAATCAAAAAAAGAGAAAGATCAAAAATATCAGCTTCGCATATCAAACGGAAAAATTCAGACAATAAAAACAGATGCACTCGGTTTGATCAGACCATCTGAGCTCCAAGAGCTACACATTGCAAACAGATTTATGTACCAGAATGTGCAGAAAAAGAACTTGATTAAGACAATTGCAGCCATGAAGAAGAGAACTCACCAGCACCCGAAGAATCAGCCTCGTGCAAAAGATTCAGATCAGGAACAAACCCAGATTCCTTATTTGAGGAACAGGGCACGAAACTGGATTCATTCTGAACTCTGCCAGATGAAGCCCTATCAGAAGCAATATCCGACTGAGAACTACTCGTCACTCCACGGGCTTTGGCAGGAAATCTGAAGCTATTGAAGGAAATTCCACGAGGTTCAACGCGAGATTCCTTCTCCACAGTATCTTCTAAATCAATAACCTCACAGCAATGCAAGTTCTTCCCTTTATCAAGCAGGGGTATCACACCGCCTCCCTTCTCCTCAATTGCCACTTTAGTACTACATCCTGGTCTAATGAGCTCCATAGGCATAGTATTGGGATTTTTAGCAGAATTCGCAACGTAAACGTCGGCTGGAAGCTCTAGATTAAAACCTGTGCGCCTATAGTCACTCATACCGACGAAATTTCCCTTTACCTCTCCTAAAGTAACGACAACATTGCCTTCATATGCCGGACTCACCTGCAACAAATTATCTCTCAATAACGAAACCTCAGCACGATACGATAAGGAAGAAACGACCCGATCGGGATTTGCATCGAAAGGGAAAATACCCTTACCACCCAAGATTGAGGAGGCGCTCCTTTCCTAAACTCTTTCGCTTCTTCTACCTCTCTTCGATAAAGTTCTCGCATCAGATTCTTCTGGGTCCAGTACAGGCGGTGGAGCTCCCGGACCTAAACGGAAGCACCCCATAAACTCTTTTTCTTTTATATATAAATCAAAATTAATTTTTTTTTTTCTCAAAGTGGGTAATTGGAAAGAAGCATAACAACCATTACCAACCTGGTACTTAAATGTAATCTCTTGCCGAAGCATAGTTTGCTTCACCCCCTCCTTCAACGAATCACCAAACTGGTTCAGGTTCAGATCACCGCTCATCGTCATTCTCATCTCCCTCCCCGCTTTCTTTTTCTTTTTCTTTTTCTTTTCCAACTCAGCACGCAAAACCTCAAAACCACACGAACCTCTCTCTCTCTCTCTCTCTCTATAGGATTCAATCACGCACGCAATCTAATCAAAATCCGCAGGAACCCGAGGATGAGGAGGAGGAGTAGTAACATAATTGTACCACATGGGCCAGGGGGAAAAGAAGACCAAAAAAAATTTAACCCAATTTAGACTTCCGACGGAGAGAAGCACGTGAAAACTGACCTTATTAATGGGCTGGGCTGGGCACCTGAGATCAAAGGAGTGGGGGTACCCAATCGACACGAAAAAGAGGGAAGAAAGTCGGAGGAAATCTGAGACGAGCGGAGGCGAAAGGATGGAGAAAGAAAGGGATCGAAATAATTACGAGTCTCCTTCTTCTTTGCTAATTCTTTTTTCCCCCAATCGTCAGCCCCTGCTTCCAAAAGAGAGAGAGAGAGAGATATAGAAAAAAAATTAAAAAAGAAAAAGAAAAAGAAATGGACAGTAGCTAGAGAGAGTCAGTTGCAGGGCACGGCAACCATCTGCTGCTTTCTCCCTGTCGCTGCCATCTCTCACATCTCTCTCTCTCTCTATATATATATATATATAATCCATCGAGTTATTAAATTAACATAGGTATAAGTACTTGCAACAAAGAAATATAAACAAAAAAAAAAAAATCATGCGAACGTACCAATCTGCTTATGGAGTTACGGTTTTGCCCCTGTTGTAACCTGCGCTGGCGTCCGCATATATTCTCTTGTTCTCCCCTACTTTTGTCACCGTGTTTCTTTTTTTTTTTTCGGAAAGACGGAGGAGGGTGTCAGGGTGATATTTGCTTTCGGAGAGACGTTCCCATGTTTCTTATATGTTGACTGATTTTTATTTTCACTTTTACTTTTTGTTGACGAGGCACCTGGTAGTTAGCCACTGTTTTACTTAAAAAAAAAAAAATTGGTCGTGTTTACATCCGTAAATAGAGGAGTCTAACTACGATTTACTTCCAAAATTTATTTATAATAATTGGGTGTAAAGTGAAACTGTCATATACTAACAACTGTTTCGTTCGCTACAGGAGTTGGTATAGGACTCCGCAAGAAAGAATTTTGGATCAAGATAGTCCTTTATCTATCTGTGATCTATCCTAGCTATCACAAATCAAATTAGATATCCAATCGCAATTTGATTGATCCCGGTGCTGGTGACGACATATAGCCCATGGATTTCCTCTTGCGTTATTCAAGTCCATCGGTTCTTCAGTGATTAATTAGTGCTAGACACGTCCCCATCTTCTAAGTTTTAAGACTAAAACTTTTGTTAACTAACTAAAACAACATCTTTGACAACTGCTTGCTGCCCGTCTAACCATGTAATTTATCAAATCTACATTATGGAGTGCACAAACAAGCACCACACAATAGGAAATGCAAGCAACAAGAAAGCACCGGTTGTTTTAACTTGGTTCGGCCAAACACGTCTACCTCAACGGTCTCTTACCAGAAAATTTACTATGTTCACAGACCAATACAATCAATGTAAGTCTTGCATGAACGAAACGTGAAAATCCTCGCACATCTCACTTCACTCAATGAATCCAAAAACATTGATCACTCAAGAGCTCGAAGAGATTCTCATCACTTACCTCACGTTACTTAACATTAATCACTTAAGATCCGTAAGAGCATTCTCCCATAGGATGAATTTCTCAATGCTAACACATACTTTTTTTTTTTTTTGTATAGCCTTCCTTTTTTGCTATTTCCAAGGGGCAAATCAATGTGCATTATTACTCTTAGAGCAATCTTCAAATATCCCAATGCATTCAAGTTTCCAATCATTCTAGTTATTGAGATTTGGTGACAATATTAAGTGACCTCGCGACCAATCGAATCAATCTAGGTAACTTTTAGAAGGGGATTTTTTTTCTATTTAAAAAAAACATTCATTGTGAATTGTGAAGGAGAAATTATTCACTATACAATATGTCACTCGGAACAGAGGGGGAAAGGCGACATCCTTATCAAAACTTGCACAAATAGTGAACCCAATTCAGTTTTCTCAAAGAGCTTTGCTACAAGGACCCAAAATATGGGACCAATAGAGGGGACAAGTGAGGTGTCTCCCTCCTATTGGATAATGAGTTGGCCATCATTAATGATGATCAACTCATTATCCAATAGGAGAGAGACACCTCACTTGTCCCATCTATTGGTCCCATATTTTGGGTCACTGTAGCAAAGCTCGGAATTTTTCTTTCTCAAAATATATGGTTGAAACGTGTCTGGTCATTTGCACAGTTAATTACATAAGTAACCTTGACCAACTCAAATCTTTTAAACAAAAGGATATATAGCTAAGATTAACAACAATATCAAATTATTAGGAAAAAATCACTAGCAGAAGAAGAGCATAAAAAGGTTGGAACTTTCATAAAATAAACCCAAAAAAGATATATGCACTTCGCAAAATAAGCCGCGCGTGCATCGTCTTTTAGCTTTCGGACGCTGGAGTCCTCCAATAATGGTAACGAGAAGGGTGTTTTGGGTACTCAGACAAAATGCGTGTGTCCAATGGAACGTGGGCGCTGTGATCTGGTATCTCTGGGACCACCTGAGCCGGTCTCAATCTACCGCAACAAAAAGAAATAAATATATATATACTCTGTACACACACACACACACCAGAATGAACAAATGATATATAAATTTAATCGGTTGTAGGTGTCAATTTCCATCCGTTGTTCTCCTCGTCGCGCTGCACGCAGGATCGAATCTGTGAGAGCTTCCAGTGGGCCCCGCGAACAAACGTGATCCTGATTCATGGGTCACTTTCTGGTCAGATCTTGTTGGTCTTACTAGTTGCGGGAGATACAAGGAAGACACGCAGACGTAAGATTGGCTGGCGCCTGGCGTTTTCTTTTATTTTGATTTTGGAAAGGGAAACTTTACGATGAGGAGAAAGATTAGTCCCCAAGTTGGGTTCTTTTCCCCCTCCCTTTTGATTCTCATTTATCGCGTAGAAACTGAAATTATTTGGCTCTTTAGTACGGGATCCTGGGGATGCTTTTGGATCTGGGAAAAGATGGCTAGCTAATATGCTTTTGGATGGTCTACCAAAGTTTCTAGTAAAGGGCTGTTTGTTTTGAGTATTTTGCCTCGGGGAGGGGGTGGAAAGCTGCCATTATGGCAGCTTTCTCCCCAAAACGCCTATTAAAGAGGCGTTTTGGGGAGAAAGCTGCCATAATGGCAGCTTTCCACCCCCCCCCCGAGGCAAAAAACTCAAAACAAACAGCCCCTTAAGATCGTATAATCATATGAAAAGATTTTCATTAATAGATAGAAAACATTTAGTGTGATGGTCCACTTAGAGTTTGAGCATAAGTTTTTTCTCACCCCCCCCCCCGCCCCGGCCCCCCCGCCCCCCCCCCCCCCCCCCCCCCCCCCCCCCCCCCCCCCTCTGCTCTCTCTCTCTCCTGCTAAATTTATATATATATATATTAGATATTATATATATATATATATATATATATATATATATATATAATATATATATATATATATTTAAGGAGAAAAAATGGGTATGTTTGGTAGCCAAACACCAAATTTTATGCTTTGGTAAGTGATGTGTGGCCACATACCCTCACTCATTCGAAATATCGAGTAGCCACATCAATGGTGAAGTAGTGCTATGAGGATATGCACACTATTGAATGAATGGAGGGGAATTACTGAATAACCTCACTACTAAGCATAACTTTTTGTGCTTGTTACTAAGTATACCAATTTCTCTCTCTCTCTCTATTTAATATATATATAATAGATATATATATATATTATATAATATATATAATATATATATATCATATATATATATATATATATATATATAGAGAGAGAGAGAGAGAGCAGAGAGAGAGCAGAGAGAGCTTATGTCAACCATTAAGTGGACATCCACCACAACATTTCTCATCCATTGATGGTACCGTATATATATATATATATATATATATATATGAAATAATCAAAATATTAATACATTTACGTGCTCATCAGCACTGACATCTTTATATTGATAAAGAGATGCCTGCAATCTAGAATGAGGCACCATCCCACCCAAAAAAAAAACACACTCCGGATTGCTTTCTTTATAGCCATGTAGAATATGAGAAGTATCTAATTTGAATTGGGTTGATTGCTTAAAACTCTCGTTCTCTTTTTTTTTAACCCTACTGCTGGTAAATAAAACATTGGGAAAATTTTGTTAATATCTCAAAAGTAATAACTTCATGTGACCTGACCCCTCTAACTTTTCTCTATGTTCTCTAGCCCCTAAATTATAGATTTATGTGATTCAACCCATTTTCATGTAATTCTCATGCCAACTAAGCACAAAGAGAGAGAAATAAATATAAAAGACTAAAATACCCTCTTCCTCCTCTCTTTTCTTTCTTTTCAGATCTAAATCTGGTCCTCCTTCCTCCTCTCTCCCATTTACTTCATCCGCTCTCTTTTCCTCATTTTTTCTCTCAGACGTCGACATCCCCCTCCGCCGCCGCCAACCTTGTGTGTACGCTCCGACCATATTGTTTGCTCTTTTCTCTAAGTTTCCCCGATCTCTCTTTCTTTCCCCCAAAACTAAAAAAAACCTCAATTTTCCCCGACACTCAAAGCGAAGAGGTGGCGAAGAACATAGCGGAGGAGGCGGTGCGAAGGAGGACGAGAAGGAGCTCGATGTTGTCGTAAGTTTCACAAAACATCCAAGCTATCGGTTTTTTAAAAGAAATTTATAATTTCTATTTGAACATCGTGGAAAGATGAAAGATGAAAGATATACCGACACAATGTGATTTTTAAAAATAATTTTTGATGTTAAGTTCTAGTCCAAGGTGGAATATTAAATCTAATGGGTTAGATGTGAAGTCCAAGGTCTTGTATGTTAAGTTTATTGGGTTGAATAATAAGTCCAATGACTTGTATGTTAAGTCTATTGGGCTGAATAATAAGTTTAATTTGTTGAATATTAAGTATAACGGATAACGGATTATATATTAAGTCCAGTTTGATTCATGTTAAGTCCAATTTGGTTCGTGTTAAGTCCAGTTTGGTACGTGTTAAGTCCAGTTTAATCATTTTAAATCTAATTCAAATTATTTTAAGTCTAATTTAAATCATGTTTAAGTCTAATTTAACTTATTTTCCGACTTAAAATAAGTTGAATAAAATAAGTTAAATAAAATAAGTTAAATTAGACTTAAGATGATTTAAATTAGACTTAAAAGAAATTTAACATGATTAAAATTACACTTAAAAGGAATTAAACTAAACTTAACATCAATAAAATTGAACTTAACACGACATTAGACTTAAAATAAGTTGAAATAAACTTAACACGATTCTGGTCATTCCGACCATGTTGTTCGCCCCTTTTCTCCCACTAATTTCCACCGCTCTCTCATTCTTTTCACCCCAAAACTGAAAAAACCCCTCAAATTCATCAGAGTTCTAGTCGAAGGATCCGTCAAGTCCAGTTTGGTTCGTGTTAACTCCAGTTTAGTTCGTGTTAACTCTAATTTAAATCATTTTAAGTCTAATTTAAATCATGTTAAGTCAAACAACAATTCATGTTAAGTCTAATTTCATTTTAAGTTCAACTTGATTCATGTTAAGTCTAATTTTAGTTCATACTAAGTGTAATTTCAATTTATGTTAAGTCTAATTTCAATAACGAAAATTAGATTTAACATAAACTGAAAATTAGACTTAACATGAACTAAAATTAGACTTAACATGAACTAAAATTAGAATTAACATAAACTGAAATTGGAGTTAACATGAATCAAATTGGACTTAACATGAAATTAGACTTAAAATAAGTTGAATTAGACTTAACATGAACTGGAATTAGACTTAACATGAATCAAATTGGACTTAACATGAAATTTGACTTAAAATAAGATAAGTTAAATTAAACTTAACATGAATTAAAATTAGACTTAACAGGAACTCAAATTGGACTTAACATGAAACAAATTGGACTTAACATGAAATTAGATTTAAAATAATTTGTGTTAGACTTAACAGGAAATTAAATTAGACTTAACGTGAACCAAATTGAACTTAATATAAAATTAGACTTAAAAACAAGTTGAATTAGACTTAACGTGATTTAAATTAAACTTAACAAGAATTAGATTAGACTTAACATAAAATTAAATTGAACTTAACATAAAGTTAGACTAAAAACAAGTTAAATTAGATATTTTTTTAGTTTTATGGGGAAAGAAAGAGAGATTAAGGAAAAACTTAATGGGAGAAAAAGAGCGAACAATATGGTCGAAACGTGCACGCAAGGTCGACGGTGGCGGAGGGGATGTCAACATCTGAGAGAAAAAGAGGAAGAGAGAGGAGGAAATAAATGGATTAGGAGAGAGGATGAGAGGAGAGGTGGATAGAGGACTAAATTTAGATCTGAAGAGAATGAAGAGGATATTTTGGGCTTTTCTATTTGCTTCTCTCTTTATGCTTAGTTGGCATGAGAATTATATGAAAAAAAGACTGAATCACATAGATCTGTAATTTAGGGGCTGTAACACATGAAGAAAAATTGGAGGGACCAGGTCACATGAAGTTATTATTTTTGGGGTCTGATACAATTTTCTCTAAAACCTTTAGTTGTCCGTTCTGTTTCGATCGATATTTCCTCACGCTCTCTTTAGTATGTATTCCATCACTTTTGTTCGGACTAGTTTTTACACACGTGCAATGCACGTGATTTAATACCATGATTAAGTATTTTTGACAGTTTGTGCTTATTTTTATCTTTAAACTCTTACATCCCAATTATTTTTTTTGTTTGTTTAAATGGGATACACCCAATTTAAATTTTCATGTTGATATTTGAATTGACAAAAAACAAATATAATTTAAAAATAATTTAAATTTTCATATTATTTTTGACCGATATGAAACTAAGCTTTATTTGAGAAGTATAGCATTGTAAAGTAAAAAATATTAAAATAGTGTTATACAAGGAAGGTGAATATTTAAAACCAATATGGCAAAATGATTTATTTAAAGTATGTTAAAACGATGCAAAAGAGAATATGAAGTTTATTCCTAATCATTGATAGACTTTATAAAAAAATATAAATTAAAGATTAATGCTAACTCTAGTATACTTTTATATGATAAAAACATCCACATAAGAATATAAAAGTACTGAAAAAATTCATGAAACTCCCTTCTAAAGATTCCTAATTTCACTCAAAATAATTAAACTATTCTATAAAATATTCAGAAAATATTGTTTTTTATTTCTTCTATTTTATTTTTTATTTAGTTAAGATCAATCCTTCTTCAGGTTTATCATTTATCATTTCTCAGGCAATTCTAGAGTATTGTCTTCATCATCTACGTCAATTATGACATCAGGCCAATTTTGTATTTTTTATGCTATTATCTTTCCTGGGCTCGTTAATTTTTTATCATCTCATTTAACTTTATAAAGAAGTCAAATGTACTTATGATGTTCAACACAAACTGCTCAAAATATAGACTTTGATTTTTTTTCTATTTCAATGAGAATAAATATTAATTTCATATATATAAAATTCTTTGTGTTCCTAATTTATTACTTAAATAAATTAGAAGTTATCTCTTTATTTTCATCTAAAATGAATTCTTCTGATGTGCATCCAATAAGAATTTATGTTATTTCAATAATATTACCTTTGCTCTATCCCTGTCATTTTTCATAAAGATCTAAACTAAATACCTGCATATTCATTACCAATTTCTCTTAGATTATAATATTAATATTTAATTTAAAGAACATAGTATGGAATTTATGAACACTTACTAATTTTTCTTATGTCTTCCATGGAGATTTTTTCTTTGATTAGGATAAAGTTATTAAATTATTTTTTAATGTAACTCATTCAGTGCTTCATTAATAGATATATCTTATGTTAATACCAATTCAAGTGATTCATTGACGTTATCTGAATTTTAGATTTATTTCCATCACTTTTCCATTTGCAATGGAAATAACTCAATTCTTTTAAAGTTATCCCTAAATATTCTAATAGTTTCTCCATATGTAATTCCTTGTATTCTTTTACCCTATAAATATTATTAACGTCAAAGATTAAAGTTTTTAAATTAAAATCAATTAATGCTAAGGTATAATATTATAGTGTTTTATCATTTCTATGGATTTAAACATCTATTAATTAATGTTACGAATGTATTTTGGCTACCCTAACTTATTACTAAAATTATATGAAATTAATTTAATTTATAAAGTGCCGATAAATTTTAATCTATAATATTTTTAAAATTTTTATCCATTAACCGGATGTTTTTAATCAATTCTTATTGTTTTTGTTTACCAGTATTAACTTAGACTATTCTTAGATGCTGAAAATGGATAGTAAATCCCTAAATTAGAAATTTTAATATATATATATATATGAAAAATACAAAACAATTACACTTTTCTTTGCCAAGTTTTAAAATTTTAGCCCATTTTTGTGGTTTTAAACTTTGAGGGTGTGATTTGTAATTTTAAAATTTTAAAAGAGTTTTTAAAAAAATTTACTTTTAAGTTTGGTAGTTGTAAATTATATGTTTCATGTGTTGGTGGTAATTTTTTAAATGTTAGTATATTTCTTGTAACTCTAAAATTTTGAGGGTGTCTTTTACAATTATTAAAACTATAGATTAATTTTGAAAAATATTAAATTTTAGCGGTCTACTAATCGACGAATTTGATGTGCGCTAGTTAAAAATTTTAAAAATTTAGAGTTTTTTTACAATTTTTATATTTTGAAGGAGGTTTTTAAAAATTTTGAGGTTAATTTCGGCAATTTTTAATTATTCAGGTGTCTACGGGTAATATCTTGAATTCATCTTATGTTATTTATAAATTTTAGAATTTTAGGGTGACTTTTTATAATTTGAACTTTTGAAGGTGTTTCTATAATTTTTGAGATATTGAGGGTGTTAATTAAAAAATTTAAATTTAAATGTCAAAAAATTTAGGTGTATCATGGTAATCTCTTGAATTCATCTGTGTTGTTTGTAAATTTTAAAATTTTAGAATTTTAATATGTTTGTCTGTAATTTAAACTTTTGAGGGTGTTTCTATAATTTTTGAGACATTGAGGTGCTAACTGTAAATTTTAAATTCTTTGCAAATTGATGTTTATTTTTTAATTTCATGTTTTTATTTTAAGTTTTGAGACATTGGGATGATTTTTATAATTTTGAACTTTTTAGGGTCTTTTTTACAATTTTAAAACTTTTTATGGTTTTTTTGCAATACTTCATGTATTGTAATATGTTATCTTCTTGTAATTTTTTTATCTTAACAAACTAATATCATTTTTATGTTTTATATATTTTATTAATTTTAGTTTTTTTAAATTGTTAAGCTAAACATGGTTCACATAGGATTAGGATAAGATATGATTATGATTAGGATAGATTAAGATATAAATAAAATATTCAAAATAGTGAAGGGTAATATTGACCATTGAAAATTAGAATTTGATTATGGATAAGGTAGTTCAAACTATAAAGGGGTATATTTGTCTAAAAAAGATTTTCCGAACTCGTGCTTTTAAAGAGAGTATGATATCGAACGATCCATATCTCTAATGCGATAAGACGTAAGTGACCCAATCAAGGTTCGTGGTGATACTACTTGCAATGTCTAAGGTTAGCATAAATCTTAAATCTTCCCCTTTTGCCATGCC